AGCCAATCAGCGTGCCACTCCCTCGCTGCGAAGAGGGACTCATACCCCTTAATTAAAACAGGCCCGTTTGCTATCCTGGCCCCAAAATGGTGGAACGAGCTCCACATTGATTTCAGGACAGCAGAAAGTCTACACATCTTCCGTTGCAGACAAACGATTCTCCTGTTTCCAATGCACTTTGGCCAAATAAAAAAGAAAAGTATATCTGTTCCGTAAGTAGCACTTCCAAAGTGAAGCTAATGCAGCAGCACTTCATCCTGTTGGGTTTATAGATAGGATGTGAACCTGCAGGATTCTTGTACTCGAGTTTGTTTCTTCATGGTTGAATGCATGTCTTCTTTTATTTAACTATAAGGGAATACAGTTACCTTTTCATGTATCCGGATAACGTAATTCTGCTACATGTAATCTGTTACTCGCCAAGCCCCAAACTCCCAAACTCCATAACATTAATCTGGCTGCAATTTACAAATTATTTATCTAATATATCATTTTCCAATCACTTGTATATAGACTCTTATTGCACTTTTTCACAATTTCACAATTTTACTATGTTTCTTTTTGTATTTACTTGAACTATTTGTTCTGTTTTTCTGTTTTTATTGTGTTGCACTGTTGGAGGAGACTGTGACCTAAGATTTTCATCGTCATAACTACACTGCTATGTACGTATGACTAATACAAGCCTTGAACCTTGAACTTTGAAATATATTTGCACATTTCTTTCGAAAGAGTTGAGTTTCCTGTGGGTTTTAAGGTTAAAAGTTTTTGCCCTTCTGTTGGAATTGTCCTAGTTTTCCTTTGATTTCACACCCTGAAGTCACGCAGTACACACACTTCTCTAACCTTTGTGCTGCTGCTGTTTCAAATGAAGAACAAATACTCTGTGCTGACAACTAATGTTCTTCCTCTGTCACAAAATATACTGCGTGCCCTTGGTGAAGGCCATCGAGGGGTAGTGCGGAGTCTCAGCGTGTTACCGCCCCATTTTCTTCATTATACTTTAATCAACTGGAAAAAGTGTGGGGGGAGGTGATGTCTTGTCTTTTTTTTTACCAATTGAAGTAAAAGAGAAGTGCATACTTGCTTGTCTCCTGTGTCTATAGCAGAGGACAGTGCAGATGCAGAGCAGGAGGAGCAGCAGAATCGCAGAGAGGGAGGCCATCGCTGCCAGAGGCACCGTGCAGCCGTCCTCAAGCTGCACCACCTCTGCCACTAAGAGAGGAAGTCACATGTGGGTTAAAGAAACGCTGAAGCAGTGTTGTTACTCTGCAATCCAATCACAGAGATGCAGACACAGTGTAAAGAAAGCCTTGTTCAATTTGCTTTCCATTTGAAGTGGTGTGCATGAGGGTTTTTGCAGAGTAGATTTAAATAAGAAAAATGTAAAACAAGAATTACAAATGGAACATTAATAAGATGATAATGCATTTGTATTTGAGGCTCTTTGATGCAAACTCATGCAGTTTTTGATCTGGGGGCTTCTTTCTGTTCCAGTCTATTCTTCAATAATAATGCTTCACAGGGGGAAAGAACAAAGTGAAAATGAAGAGACAGAGAACCAAACTAGGACGGAGCAAAGAGAGACTCTTCACTGTATATTTATGTTATTTAAAGGGTTGGGAGGGTTACTTTAAAAATGTACTGTACTAATACTAGTTACGTGTAAAAAATGTAATCCCTGGTCTGAGTATCACAATATAAAAGTAATGTGACTTGATTACTTTTTGTTACTTTTGGATTACCTCAATATCAAATGCATTGATATTTATATTTTCTTTTATTTATTTGCATTGCATTCGATGGTGTTGTGATTAGTCGACCGCTTAGAGATGTCCCGCCCCTTAGTCTGTCACGTACAATGTGTTGGAGCGTGTGAGTGTTACATAGTGATGTCACGGTGGGGGTGTGGGGGGGGGAGAGAAACACAGGGATTTTAGCCTTTGCAGACCATTTACATGCATACAAACCTATAGAACACACACTACAGGAAAGGGAAAAGCCCCAAAAGCATAATAGGGCCTCTTTAAGTAAAACAAAACATCTTATTGATATATAATCAGGTTACATTATTTTTATATTGTGATACTCAGAGTTGGTTTGATTTGTTTTAAATGGTACCTGTAACGGATTTCAATTATAACAAACCCTTCAAACCCTGAAGCAAGGACGGAGAAAATATGTTGTGTTATTATTTAATGAAAAACACATGAATGCGTCCTCTCACCCACTGTCAGGCGGAAGCTGCTCCTCAGTGGGGTTTGGAGTGCAGACACAGAGGCCAGACAATCCACATAAGAGCTCTTTGCTGCTGTAACACTGAGGTTACTGCTCACAGTGAAGAGGCTCTCCCCCGACTCTTCACTGCTGATGTTGTAATCACCCCGGCTCACCTTAGAGAGAGAGATAATTGGTTTATTTGTATTCTGTTTATTCATTTGGATGGTGGACATCTAACTAGACAGGATTTATCTGTTATTCTGTGAAAAAAACTGTATAAGACCAAAAGGGAAAATATAAAACAAATGTTTTTTTTTGTGTTTTTTTTAAGTACGTTGTATACATAGTGCTTTCTATGGTTGTCGACAGGTACAAACGGCCCAAAACAATTCCATTAGGTGAAACGTACTGCAGCTTCAAATATAAAAACACACATGCAAATGAAATACATCTTCATCAACTTGACAACACATGTATTATCTCTTCGATTTACACACGGCATCTATTGCACGTCTGTCCGTCCTGGGAGAGGGATCCCTCCTCTGTTGCTCTCCCTGAGGTTTCTCCCATGTTCCCCTTTAAACTGTGGGTTTTTCTCTGGAAGTTTTTCCTTGCACGATGTGAGGGTCTAAGGACAGAGGGTGTCGTATTGTCATACTGATATTCTGTACAAACTGTGAAGTCCACTGAGACAAATGTAACATTTGTGATATTGGGCTATATAAATAAACATTAATTGATTGATTGATGCGCAGGATTTTGAAAAAAAACTACTGCTACTTTTACTGAAGTAAATAATCTGTCTTCCATCTTTGGCTGCGACCATGTTTTAGTTAAATTGCTGAGTTTTAAAAAGGCGGAGCTCCCCGGAGATGTCACATCTGTTTCATCTGTTTTCAGATTTGTATCCAGACAATTGAACGGTGCATTCACCGGCTGTAGTTCCCACCAGTGTAATGAGGCTTAATACCATTAGAACCAAACAATTACACTTGAGAACATTTGACAGCAGGGTGTCTTTTTCAGATGTAATAAATGGTAATAACTTGATGTTGTTTTGACCCCTGTAAAAGCAGAGGACAGTTTCCTAAAGGGTGTGGAAGAGAAACGGAAAGCCTGAAAATTATAATGCACCTTATCTGGCTCTGCACAGGCACACAATTACAGCATGTACTTATTTACAGGGGCACTTAAAATGAAAGTGGTTTGAGTACAAATGTTCACAAAGAGGTCTGTGATGTTATTTAATTTAGAAATTGGCAAAAAAAAACTGTCTCTTGTAATACTGTAATCCAAATGCACTATGAACCATTATCTGTGGTTGAATAGAAGCTTTTATCTCATGTTCCTTTTCCTTGAATGTTTCACCCTTTACTTGTGTTAATAAACGTATGTGTTTTGTCAAAGATGGAAGTTCTTGTGTCTTTCTTTTTTTTGGACCGACAAGAGTATGGCATTTTCTCTGACTTTGTATTGACTATGAAACAACATTTCAACATAACATTCAACTATATTATGACTTTTATTGACTTACTATACTACAACATTTTAATAATGTTTTCGACATACTATATTATTACATTTGTATTACTTTTTTAGACCTACTTCACCACAACGTTTTTTCATTTAACATATTATACATAACATTTAAGTTCAAGTTGACAGAAGTTTAAAGTGGACCTATCATGCTGTATTTGAATAATATAGTGTAGGACCATACCTATATAAGGCATATTTATACTTTTTTTTTTTCAAAATACCAAACAGATCATGCATTTCAGCCATGCCTCATTTTGCTCAATTTGACAATTTATAGCTCTGTTTGTGCAAGGGTTGATTCTGTGAGAACAGCACCATCTACTGGCCTGGCATATGTACTACAGCGTCTCCAGCGCTTTCGAACGGCAATGGCCGTGGTGGTCTCCTCCTGATTGGTGGAGTTGGCCCAATAGCCGTAGCGCCACCGTCCTGACGTCAGGACAGTGTTCAAATCTGGATCAGTTTTTATCAGATCCGTTGCAGCCCCTTTTTTAGAGATTTGGGTATGGAGGAAAATGGAGAGGGTTGTGTTTTCTGACACTTGGTGAGTTCCCTGGAACACCGGGGACACATATTCATGTATAAAAGACGTACAAAAGTGCATTTTGCATGATAGGTCCCCTTTAAGACATTTAAGTTTTGTTCAGGGGTTTCCTGTTAGCCTGGCTTATGTACAATTACAGGAGAAAGACTGCTAGCTAACTAACGCTGCCACAGAAATGTTCGGGCTTTATGTAATGGCTCGCTCTCATCACGTCTAATATTAGTAAAACCCACTAACTTCTACTTTAGAGTGTGGGTCCATCACACCTACTGTATGTTGATTAGTTATTTCTTAATCAATCTGTTGGGCATTTAAGCTCAACACGTCCACCCGCTGCTTTGCTAGCGCTTTATTTAATGGGATTAGCATGTTGATTTAGCTCACCACTTCTACAATATCACAATAAATTGTGTGTCTTTGCATTAGCAACATTGATGCTGTTCTCTAATATGAAATACTGTGGTTAGTTCTCAGACAGACAGTACTGAGGAGGATGCGTGTACTCACTGTTTTGTTATTCACATGCCATTGCAGAGTGGGTAGAGGGTACCATCCCGCAGCGTGGCATCCAAACAGAACTGACTGACCCTTGAAAACCAGCGTAGAGTCCCCGATCACTTTCACGCTGCCCTTTTCTGCAATCAGAAGAGAAGTACATTTACACACTTGTAAATTTGTTCTTGCATGTGCATGTGCTTGCATGTATGAATATGTATGTACCTTAAAGGTTTATGTATACCTACAGCTGTTAGGAATCTATGTTTTTCTGTTATTTGCATGCATATTTCTGTACCCAAAGATGAGCAACACCTCTCCAGATGGCCTGCTCGATTACAAGAGACGGATTTCATTCGTCCCGGGTGATTGATCGCATGTCTCCAAGTCTCAATTGCCTGACGAATGCTTCTCTCTTCTCCCCTTCATCTCCTTCCCTGCCAGCCAAATAAGCCACTTAAGGCCTCGGGAGATATAGTATCTCATATGTGAAGTCTATTGTGTGGCAGAACGAAAGTCGGTAGATGCAACAGACAATTGCTACAGACAGAAAGATAATTACAGAAGCTCCGGTGCTTTGTCTAAGCGGATGACATGTCTGTGTTGATTTAGGTTCAAATCCTCAGATGTTTTGTACGCATTATTGGCTGTCCCTTTTCTCCAGGAGCTTTTATTTGATGCCTGATTTTGGTGTCATAAACATCGTACCGTCCAATTCTAGGAAGAGTGAACTCAGAGCTGTTGGGTAAAGGTTGGCGGGCCTCATTTGCATTGACTGATGAGCAGCTCTGGGCGATCATGGCAGATTGATACGTCTGAATAGAGAGAAAGGAACGCCATCAGCACTCTCTCCCTAAGCTCCAATTTAAGTGATCCCTGAAATAAGGTTTCGTAAGGTTGGTTGATCACTGTAGGGAAAAGACTTTCAGCTGCTGTTGCAGTCCTTAAGAGGCAGGGAGTCCTCAGATAACTCTGATACTTTCTGCAGGGGAACTTGCTGCATTGAGACTTTTATATGTCTGTTTGCAGAACTCTTGTTTGCATGATAACCCATGGCCTGTGTGTGTGGGAGTGAATTCACTCCAATGAGGAGGGCGCTATGCCTCTACGGACCAAACATCACAGGCATGTTCGCTCTTTGAGTTTTATTGAACACTTCTCCTTTTCTGCAGCCTTCACTGCAGAACCTGCTCAACAGTGCGTACAACCGTATTGATTTAGTCAATTGAATGTGCAAGAGAGTGAGAGGAATAAGCAGGCAGGAGTGTGTTGTCATATTTACATCATCCTCATACTGGACAATTAAAGCAGGGAGTGTTGACGATAGCATGCAGAGGCAGCCAGGCGGCGGTGGATTTGTGGCTCCGCTCCAGCAGTATATCTGAAGCTGCAGTACACAAATCACAGGCAGAGTTGCTGACTGTTAACTGGGCGTGCCAGGATGCACAATTAATTCAAAGGCTGTGTCAGGCCATAGTGATCCTGTGCGTCCAGACTCGAGGGCCTGATTCACCATGCAGTACTGTTAATGGCTGCATATGTCAGTGGGGATTTGTGGCGTTGGCAGCGATGGAGGCTCTCTGCGTAATATATTGGAGGTGATGGGTCATTGGTTTTTGTTTCCCTTTGCTTTTTTGCAGAGAGGATGTTTCCACGCAGATTTGATTTTTGCTGAGTTAGGTTTGTACAGGTGGAAATAAGCTGAAGGTCAAAAGAGTCCAAACATGGCAATCTTTGAACAAAAAGGCTGTACAAAACGTATCAGAGTGAGTGGGGATGGGTCCCTATCTTTGATCATTCCTTTTATGAGGTCAAACATGCAAACATCTTTCTCTGCTCTCCTTAAAAAAGTTGGACTTCCCCTCTCATCAGCAAATAAGAACACAGAAAGAAGCCCTATTCAGTTTTTTGGGTTGTTTTATATATTCCATTGACTCCTTTGTTTACTTCCGTAACATAGTGACATCAATATGTAACACTTGTGCTTCTATTGGCTATCACTCAAAACATATTGTACGTGGTAGGCTAAGGGGCGGGACATCTCTAAGGGGTTGACCGATCACAACAGAGCCGGCCAGCTAACCAATCAGAGCAGACTGGGCTCTGGTTTCAGACAGAGAGTGAAATTAGGTGCTGTAGCTTTTGTAAAAAAAAAAGAACATTGAAGCTTACAAACATGTCACAGTAGAGACACAAAACACAGATATGAACATTATAGGGCCCCTTTAAACCCAAAGATGCTTACAAGTCGTTTTTATAAAGTAAAAGTCAAGTCTTTATCTAGAGTCTATGTCGATTATCTTTTGAATGTTATGAGCGATCTATCATATGCTGCATGCCCTCCGGTCTGCTTAGAAAATTGCATACAGTAGCTTTATCTAGAAGTTCAAAGCATGTACTGTATTATCTTCACTCATATAGCTATATAAGCGCATCATCTTTATACAAAACAAAAGAATATTGATATTTAATTCAATTTTGGGGGGGAAATGCATACATTTTTTTTCTTACAAAATATATATAAATCAATCTGGTGCACCTATATTTATTTGTATTACAAATAAATGGTATTGGTTACCAGGGAGTCCCAAGTGTGTCAAAATGCTGCAGAGCTCTCAAGCTTGAGATATTAACACGAACAGCACTGCAGAGAATGACTGATTCTTATCAAGCCTGGACTCTCCAGCAACAGAGAGGAGAAGAAGGGTGACTGGCTTCAGCTGCAGTGTGTAAATCCTGCTCTGCAGACCAGTCTGACTGTCGAGGAGTCCCCAGCTTTCCACCTGGTATTTATATCTCCCCGCGGTCATAAACAATGTCACAGAGAGGAATCAACAAACATGTCTGAGCATCTGTACTCATCCACACAACCCAGTAGATGATTTTTCACCCTCGATAGATGGCACTTGTTCACTTGCTTTTACAGAAAACCCTCACTCTTGAATCCCCTCTTCAAAGAAAATTAAAATATAGGCACTTTAATTAAGATAAGCGTTTTGAACACTGGGGGGAAATGCTCTCTGTCTCTTTGTGTTTCAGAGACAGCAATGTGGGGGTATGCAAAATGAAAGCAGCTACATTATTTTTGCTTAGTCCCTTCTTTTTTTACGCTTCTTTTTGTCTCGTCAAGGTTAAATCAGTGTGTTTCTGATCTCTCAGTTTGCAATTGAGACTTCCCATTTGCAGATAGGCCTTTGACATTCTCTGCAGCCGAAGTAAACACTAACTTTCTGTATTACTGCTACAAAACAATGTTACAAACACATGCACACACTCTGACACACACACATACCTTGTACAAACAGGCTGGCGGTTCTCCTGTCGCTGCCCTGGAGGTCACAGGTCAGTTGTCCCTGGTTGCGCCTCTCAGTGTTCTTCAGCACAAACACCCAGCTGTCTCCTGATGAGACGCTGCCTTTCTCTGCCGTCACGTTAGGGTGGACGGACGGCAGGACGCCAAACTCCTTGGAGATGGTGAGCACCGCCGTGCCGTCCAGCAACCACACCATGACGGTCCACTTGGTCTTGGAGGGAGTGCAGGTGAACCGCGCGTCCCCCCCCCGCAGGACGGTCAGCGCTTCTGGAGACAGCTTCATCGCAGCTCCAACTGATAAAGTGTCCAAATCAAAAACAGATGTTAAACACATTTATTTTCAATGTGGAACAAAACAAATCAAGTCATCAGCTGATGCGCTGATTTGCTTTCTTGGTGAGAGTTTGAGTAGTGGAGACAAATATATTTAAAAAAAATCTTGTTTTCAGGTTCATATTAGTATGTACTGTTGTGCGTCTACTGTGACATGTCTCCATGCTTTAATGTTCAAAAAGATCTTTATTTTTTCTTTTCACCCTCTGTCTAAAACCAATCTGCTCTGATTTGATTGCAGAAAAAATATGGCGCCCCTTTTTAAAAGTAGTTTGCAAGCTGTGGTCGGAGATACAGAGATACTCAGATGGGGTGCTGTTCAGCCAAATTAGCCTGCATGAGACAAAGGGGAGCCAAATCTAAATGTCTTGCTGAATCCCATGTTTTCCTGACCGAGGCAGCCAGCAAAAACAGATTGTAGGTTAGTTGTTATTGTATTCCACAATATTCTCCCTTTGAAAAGACCATACACATAACAAAATAATATGAGGCCAATCATGATTAAGAAGCTGGCGATATATACAAATCCTCTCTATTGAAAACCAGCAGTAGTAAGGGAAACCCAAGTGACCTATATTCTGAATGTAAGCAGTTTAACAACAGTCACATGCTGCAGTTCTCTCAAGTGACATTAGCATCGGTGTGCACATTTAGCAAAGTAAGCTGACTTCTTCAAATATTATCTCAAAATAAATGATATTAAAATTGTAATAGATGCATTTTAGAGTTGCAATATTATGACATTTGATTATTACTCTCAATGTGAAACATTACATTATAAATAACTTTTAAGTACAAATTAAATTGTACATATTGTTCTGTCATTTATATTTGTATTGTATTTTTTACAGAATTGCCAGTTTTTTACACTACGAGACATTTTTAACAGTGTATGCAAAGAGCATGTACAGTACATTCTTGAAATCCGAGTTGAAATGTCCTGTGATGTTTGTCTAAGGAAACCTATACATATCATTGAGAATGAGCAAGGAAGTATTCAACCAGAACAAAATGGCGGCTATACTTGCTTTGTTTTATTAGATTGTGAGTTAATGTTTTAAGGGGTTGGAACATAGTGAATATGAGGTGTTATTTTTCGTCATAAATGGTTTTAACATTTAAACCTTTCCATGTTAGAGGACCAAGTGTATTCGAGACATTGAGTAAAATGAAAAGAGAAAGAGGAAAGAGAAGAAAGAAAGAAAGAAAGAAAGAAAGAAGAAATAAAGCCTTGGAGGATAAAGAGACAAAGAAAGACATTGACAGCCCAATACCTAAATCTCTTTCTTACTGAGGCTGTCCAGATGGAGACGGGTGATTTGCCCGGGTGCATGAATGAGGGCGAACAGGATTTAGGGAAGAAATTCCAACAAAAATAGGAGTGTGTAAATGAATCTGTAACTGTGGGCAGCATGCGAGGCATTATTCTGCAGGTTATGCTACCCTGCAGTTTGATAAAGCCACAAGGACAACATGATTAGAGCTAAAATAGAAAAAGTCTCCATGAGAAAAAGCACTATGCACTACTGTGAGGGCCTACTCCTCAACGACACACACATGCACACACCTGCATCACTGCACTCGGGTGGATGTTTACACCACAGTGAGGTGATGTATAACTGTGTTACCTTTCACATTCAGCATGCAAATCATAAATTATGCATCCGTTTGGGAAATTAGGCCTGAGAAATATCTAGGACATCCTATACGGAGATTTATTTTCTTTGCAATCAGAGAATTGCAGTCTAATGAGCATAATGCATGCTCCTATTGGGACCATGAGTCCCCTTACCACTGGCTACATCTTACTGTTAACTAGATAGGCCGCCATTTGGAAGAAAATTAATTATATAGTGCAGATAGGCACACATGGCTCTAATCAGAGGGTGGGTTTATTTTAAAACGTGCTGCCACAAAGCACAGCATGTACTAGATGTAGCCGAACATGCACATTACTGTCCGCTGTGACACACCGACACTCAAACAAGCTGCTGTTTGTTCTGAGCTGAACTCTCACCTTGAATGCTGCATGAGAGGAGGAGCAGTAACAGACAAAAGAAGTCCATGTTTAATCAGTCTGTCGAGTCAATCCATTGTTCAATGCTGCATGGACCTGAAACAAAAATAATTTAGTTATTCTCAGCCGGAGGTATACAAAGTAATTGAATTAAGAAAAGCAGTGTAAAACCATCTGTTGCAAGTAAAAGTCCTGCAGTCAGAATTGTTCTCAAATCAAATAAATGAAGTATTAGCATAACAATATACTTAAAGGGCCAAAAGTAGACATTCTCCAGCAGGGTGGCCAATTTCTAAATATTATTATTATTATTATATTTTTCATATATATAATGAACATTATACAGTGTTCATCAATTAAATGAGGCATAAGCTAAAGAAAGAGCCTTTACAAATAACGTGAGATATTGCAATAAAGTTTATCCTAACCTATAATAATACACGTTTAATTATAAGTGGATTATGTTTAGTTTCATTCATAATCTTCAAAGCAAAACAATAAAATACATGTAGTAAAAAGTACATTTTAAACTGAATACCGAAAATTAAATACTCAAGTGAAGTCTCTCCAAATTGCATTTAAGTTTACAGAGCTGTTAGCATAGCTGTAGCCTTTTAAAAAACGTATATAAAGTGTTAAATATATATTCATATCCTGGAAATAAAATGTGTTCTTGGTGAAGTGTCTCCTAAAGAAAGCTGAGGACAGTGTGGAAAAAAACATATATTGTAAGATTTGAATTCATTCTGAGCTAAACTAATCACAAGATAATAATATTGGCACCACAACTGCCAGAAATAAAAAGCTAATGCTACTGTAAGCTATAAGTGAATTGAAATGACAATAAAATCTCTTCAGCTTCAGACCTTATTTCAGACTCAAAACCAAAAATACATTCAAAAAACAACAACCATTAAGACCAATCAGGAACATGTAAAAAAGCATAATTATTTCCGGGTTTTAGGACTTGTTTCTGCACCACTCTATAAACAAAATGTGATATCTTGTTTTTCAAATGAAAGGTGACTGTCACAGTCAAATGCTTGATATTTGTACACAGGAGTGAAATTGGAAAATAATAGCTTACATAAATTCCCACCCTTTTTGTCAAAATGAAAATTGCCTTGATAGGACAGTAAACTAAGGAAATCTTACTACAAATTGTAATTTTGAATACAGGTGAAACTTCTCATGTCAGAGTATCATTACGTCAAATCCCTGACATCTTGTATATAAATATCTTGCAGCATGCAGTTTCTTTCGACACACAGCAGAAAGCATCATATCCTGAATAAATTACCCAAGTTTAGTGAAATAATAACCATAAGTCCCACTGTGATGGTGTGACTCACCTCAGTCTGGTGTCACAACCCGTGGATACATGTCAACGATGCTGCTCCTTCCTCATGCTTTCCCAAAACTTTCCTGTTAAATATTACCCGAAACTCAGAGGGAACTTTGCCCGGTGCTTCACACACATGGAAATACAGAGTGACTCAGAGTGCAAACAATGCCCCTCGTAAGGCTCCATTTCCCAGGGGGCTTTACAAGCAGACCTCCACCCTCTACAAAGAAATGGGTTTGGACACAGGAGGATAAAAACAGCAGAAATACAGAATATCTTTTAGAAGGATGACATGCTTTGATAACTTTAGTCACACTAGCAGCTTGGCAATATTGTCTAGAAGAAAATATCTTTTGGACGGTTAGGAATTCATTCATGTTCACCAGAGGATAAACCCTAATTGTCAGTATCTTTGGCTTTTTTTATGAAATATTTTATTCTTCGACTTTGCTTACTGACTTTTTCTTTAGCTCTAGCCATGCAGTTGACATTTGTATACTTGTTGTATACTGTATACTTTGGTGCTTGAAAAACTTCATGCAATAATAAAATTCTCATCAGCCCGATGGATATACAACGATACATATAATACTATATCATACCTCGTTTGCGGTGCTAATGGAATGAATAAGAAAATATTGAATTGGCAAATCAGTTTGCCAAGATGGAAATATCTCCAAAAATGTGGATGGTTATGAAATGCAATCGTGTTCGGATAAACCCAAATGACTTTGACAGTATTTCTGGCTTTTTTTAATGAAATGTTTTGAAAAATAAGTGTATTTCTAAGAAATGTGCAACAGACTTTCTTGATATCCAGACTATTCCATTATCTCTGGCAATGCGGCTGATATTTGTAGTATTGACTGAAGCACCCTGGCAACTAGATTACCGTAAAAAATGTTGACCCAATATTGAAACAAATTTGTATTTTGTCCTATACTTTGGTTTTCGACCAAATTCCTGCAATAATAAGTACAGTTTCACCAAAGTCTTGGCTTCTGAACTCTTGGCTGAAAATAAAGAACACATTCCTTTTCATTCTTGGTAACAGTCTATTGTATATTTATCACGTAACAACACATTCACTTTGAAATACCTACAATGCTGTGAAAAACATATTTCTATGGTATCTTACATCCCCCTCTCCTTTTCCAAGCATCTCTTGGGACGAGGCATTTATTGGTGTTTTCCTGTTTGCCTCAGCACTTCTGACACTGCACAATCTGATCTATAAATATGCCAACAAAAGAGTTTAAAATAAAACAAAATAGTCGTTTTTACCAGTTTACTTTATTGCATTTTCCATTGCATGCAAGTCTTAGTCACATGGTTCACTCCTTATTCAACAAAGTGCATTGATTAGACAGCAGTATTGGCAGACGCAACTATAGTGGTGGTGCAGTATGTGCGTATTTTTTCCTCATGTGGCCTTTAGGAAGTCTTGAATTTGTACATTCACTTGATCGAAGGATCCACGACATTGGTAAAACTACTGATAAAAGATCAGAACACACTAGAGCGCGAGTTTGAATCTGAAGTGGGGCAAAACCATCTAAGCTATGCCAAGATTTTTTGTAAAGGCCACTTCTTCTCTGTTAGAAAACGAGAAATACGAGAAATAAGTTTGATTTTTACCAAAATAACTGAATAGCATTTTACAAAAGCTACTCGACACCACTTGGCTACTCTGTGCATTTTCATTACAGTACGTCTCAAAAGGCAAAATATAAAAATTAAGTCAACATTGCAGTCAAAAGGGAACGAGATATGCGTATCAGGACTTTAGCTTTTGACTTGGCGCCTTCAAACACATGGCCATCAGTTTCCAGTGGGGTCCTTGGGGACGGGTGGAGGGGGGTCAAGCGTCAAAGGGTCAGGGAGAGACGGCTCCTTCGGGCTGAAACAAAAAAAAGAAACAAGGTCACATATTTCCCAGTTGAGGCAGCCGCCACCACCGCTGAGCCTGTGCCACCCAACGTGCTCCGGAGGCACATGAGGCTCACTTAGCAGCTTCCTCTAACGCTGCGTGACAGGGGCTCGCAGGGTCTGGAGGAAGCTACCAAGTGAGGGAGAAGACGAGCATTTCATCAAAGCTCACTCTGTGGATCTTAATTCATAGCGTCGTATACAGGCTTCTGGAGTAATGGATTGGATGTAAAGGGATAGTCTGGATACAAAATAAAGGAGAGTGATTTCCCTTACAGTTGCTTAAAAAAAAGATGTAATCAGATTACCGTTACACATCTTAAAATGGTGGATTAGCAATTTTACAATGTTAATAAAATAACTAAAAGAGCGTTTAGTGTTTTCTGTAGGCTAATATTTTATATTTTAAAGGGCCCATGTCATGCTTTTCCGGTTATTACCCATCCACCTTGTGTGTTATGAAGGTTTTTATGCATGTAAACGGTCTGCAGAGTCACAAACCCTCAAAGTACACCCTGTAGGGAGTAAAACTCTAACACAGAAAATACCTGTCTATGCTGCCCCAGAACGCCTTGTTGGAGATTTCTAATTTTCCATTGTTTTCTTCCTGGGTTCTGTGACGTGTGAACACCCAAATCAACAACAAATGACCGGATTGGCCCAAATGGACCAATCTGCGGAGCACCTCACACACCAGGATCCCTTGGCTAACTAACCTGGAGTCCCCATTGACTTGCATAGAGCTCCCTGAACGTTGGTAATAGACGAGTTGGGATGGCGGAGAAATGCTCTCCGCAGACCCATTCTCACAGCGTTATAAACCTTTTTCTTACTTAATATCAAGCCACACTTATTGTTTTTACTTCGGCTGTGAGTGTTTGTGTGTGCTCAGGATGAGTTTCGCTGTATCGCCGACCCGGAAACCTGTCCGCTCGTCGCAGCAGATCGCAGCAACGAGCCTCGCAACGTCCCGACCAATCAGAGCACAATAGGCGCGTTCACACCGCAGTACTTTTCACCGTACTTTTCGCGTTTAGTTCCGTTAGTACCCCTTATGTCGCGTTCACACCAAAAAGAGCACTTAATCTCGGGAACTTTTACCCCCATTTTTAGTGCCTGCTGAGAGCAGGTGCTTTCCTGGGGGAAAAAAGTGCCCCAGTTCTGATTGGCTGGGCGAATTGCAAACCACGCCCCGTAAAACTCTGAAATGTTTTGTAGAGCCGCCATTTTATTATCCTCGCATTAGCATTATTAGCATTAGCATTCGCCCAGCGCACAAACGCAGAGAGACTAACTTATGGCAACACAAAATAAAACATGGGAGAGGTGGAGATGAGGAGGTGTCGGCGTTCTGGCGATTTACTCGGAAGGCTTCAGTAGAAGCTGCTGGGAGTCCCAGCAGCTTCTACTGAAGCCAGTCCCCAACTCCGGGGACTTCCGGCCGGGGACTCCCGGTGGCAGTATATGCCGGGTGGCAGTATACGCCGTGAAGTTGTTTGCGGCCTGCCAGTAAACCCAAAGCAGAAGAAGACGAAGTGACGTCAGCGGCTCATTTGCGTAATCTTCCCTCAGGGAATTTATTCCGGTGTGAACGCGATCTGTACTAAGTGCCCTGGGGTAATAAGTGCCGGGGCACTGAGTGCCGGCACTGAGTACGGCAAAGTACTTGGTGTGAACGCGGCTATTGGGCTCACAGGGAGGGGGGGCAGGAGCTCCAACAAGCCGTTTAGGACAGAGAGTGAATACCGGTGAATACACATACTATACAGAGATGTATGAGAAACCAATGTGATTTTGGAAAATTGCACAATTTAAATCTATTCTAGTATACCTCAATAATGGAATTATGATCAGTAGAAATGGCCATGACATGGGACCTTTAAGTGTGAATCTATACGCCTACTGCCTGAATCTGCTTCATGGTTTTCACTTTCTTTGGTTCATTTGTTTCTTTTTTTTTTTTAATTCTGTAGTGTTGGAGCGCTAGCCAATAGAAGCAAGATGTTCCATAGTGATGTCACTATGTTCCGGAAGTAAACAAAGGAGTCCAATGGAGGCGTTTTAGGCGTATATAACACACTACATAACACACATACAGGAGAGGGAAAACCCCAAAAAGCTAAATAAGGCCTCTTAAAAGTAGGTTAGGTTACTGATTACATTTTGTTTACAGGTAACTAGTAATTAAAACAGAATAGGTTCTCAAAGTTACCCTCCTACCCAGCACATCCTTTGAAGATTAGGATTATCATCACCGCCTCAGAGGAACAAAAAGAAAATGGAAATTGTGGATGTTTTTCAGTTTTTTGGCCTCACAGATGATCCCTAGTATTCTGTTTGCAGATGCAGCCATTAGTGAAGGGTCCCTTTGAAATCCACTGCCGCATTATTTTATTTCCTCAGACTGAAAACCTCAGAGTGCATGAAAACAAACCCTAAGGTGAAGCGAGGTTAGCGTTTGAGATTTATGCATCTTTATATATAAAGGCAAGAACATTACATTGATATGAATGCAGCTTCAAAGGCGCAGTATACAATGTAGATAAAGCAGAGAGGTTGTGTGTTATTATTCAGAAGGTCACAGAGGCACAAAAACAGTTTAATTAATCTGGTTATATAAATGCCAAATATAAAAAGGGAACTTCTCATGTTGTGGTGGTGTTTACTGCATATTCACATGATGTTTTACTGCCCTCCAGTGGTAGAGAAAACACAGAATCAAAGGAAGAGTGTAGATTTGTACCTGGATATTAACATTTTAACATCGATGACGCCCCCTGGTGTCAACTACTCAGCCTCTTCCTCCTGTAAAAAATAAATAATGATACATCAACAACAAATTCTTACATGGAAACAATGAATATCTGTGTGTTTTGAGTTGGTTTTTGTCCAGTTGCTATGTGATTTTGGCACTAGGTTGCAAAAAGAAAAAATCAGCCTCATTGTCTCCATGACATGGATCCACTGGGCGGACTTTAAGCTTAGTGGATTTAGGGAAAAAAGATTACAGTTAGATCTGCTTAGTTTGTTGCACAAATAAAACCATGATTCCTCAGACAGATGGTATAAAAAAGCAAAGCAGCGTTCCTCTGTTATTAAAAAAACAACAGTGTGTCCAGAGGTGGAAGAAGTAGTTTGATTGTTTACTTGAGTAAAAGTACTGGCATGAAATTATACTTAAAGTACCAAAAGTAAAAATACTCGTTGTGCAGAATGGCTTATTTCAGAATAATATAAAGTAAATACTTTATTATCAGCTAAATGCACTTTAAGTATCAAAATACTTTTTAATAGACCTTTCCCAGTTTTACATGATGGTTCTTTTGATATTCAGTTTTTATACTGAAGAGCATTTTAGTACTGTAGTTTGTCAATTTGAAGCAAATTCAGATTTTATTATTTTGTGTCGTAGGACAAAATGTTAAAATCTCTTCTGCTTGCGTTTCCACATACCTTATTTGAGGCTAACAACCAAAAACACATCCAGAAAACCATTGACTTCCACACCAGGGGACAGGAAGTGGTAAATGCTGACTCATTACCATGTTTTTGGACACATTACTGCGCCACTCTGTACTACCGGTGTTTCAAGTTTTCTTCCTTGGCCACGTTTAAAAATTAAAAAAGGAGAGAAGTAGTAGTAGTTCTAGAACTAGAAGGAGGTTGTTTGAAGTCATGTGCAGCAACAGGAGGGCGAAAGGACTTCACATGTTAGTGTTTATAGCGACGGGGGGGTTAAAAATGTGGAAGAAGAACCCCGAGAGAGGTGCGGTGTCAACAACAGCGGGGGAATTAATTAAAGTAATGACCTCAAGTGTTCTGTTTATCCTGAGGTGACACAGGAGTGGTGCTTAAAGTGATGCACCTTATACACCAGGTCAGTTTGATGACTGCCATCTTGAAGTAAACATCCAATCCTACTACTTTAAATAGTGAGGGCCGAACACTGTCAGCAGATTTGGGGAGTAATGGATTACATTGATCCTTTTCTAGAACCCATGACCTTGACAAAAACATTTCTGAGCAATTTATTTAGCAATTAGACTTATCAACATTTACTCAAGGACTGTACGCAAGTACAATTTTGAGGACAGACTCAGATTATTAGCTTATACAAACTAATACATTTAGATTAATTATAGGTTCAGATATCCAGCAGCAGTATATAAAGTAAAAAAAAATTAAAAGTAGCTCCGCCTTTACAAACTGGGATCAACTCATTAATGCATCAATAATCACGATCCAGTCCTTTCATATTATTCTGAAATAAGTACTTATGGTAAGTATATTTAGATGCTAATATTTATGTACTTTTACTTAAGTAAGATTTTGAATGCAGGACTTTAACCAAAGTATTGTAAAAGTTGGTATAGGTACTTTGACTTTTTCCATCACTGGGCATACTAACAGGTTATTGAACTGGGGGATATAGCACCCTGGGGACATCGATACACTCCCATCTGATGTAACTGTACGTTTTTCCTCCAAGTCTTTCTTAATATCAAGAAATACTTAATCTCTTCCATCTTCTATAGAACATGTCACATGCACTTATTTCATAGTGCTCTTGGTAAAAAGATACAAAAGACATGACTACTTAAAAAAACAGAAGAATGCGTGTCCCCCTGTCAGGTCAATGCGGAAGAGGATTAGGGTGACGTGCATTATTTTTAATTATTATTAACTAACCCGAATTCAACTTTCCTCTCAAAACTCAAGTTTTTTCTCAGAAATCGACTTTTTTCTCAGAATCAGATTTTTTTTTTACATTTAAACTTTTTTGGTTGCGTTTCCACTAAGCGTAGTTCCGGCTAGCGGGTACTTTTTCACAGTTTTCTGGCTCTCCAAAATCGAGGTTCTTTCCGGGGCAACAACCGAGTATGCTAAACTAGTGAGAGAATCGCTGGCAACTACAACAATGTGGCCCTAATCGTCTTCCGTAGGTCAGAGTGTCCCCTCCGTGCAACATAACCAAACATGTCAACATTATGCTTGGGGGCTCATAGGCAGAGTTAGACAACAATAACAAATCTGTCCACCTGCTCCAAGACATCACAACAACAAAATGTGCTGGCACACTGAGAAGAAATTCCAACAACACTGAACTAACAAACAAATGTTTCATGGTGCCATATTTGAAGTAACGCTCAACAGTGAAATTTAGAGCTGAGTCACAATCCCATAATGTGCTCTGGAATGCATCACACACAATTTGTCCTTGGAAGGAGACCGTCAAAATGTTTGTATGCAATTAGATCATGCATACAAATCTTCAAATGGTTTACAACACACAAATCATGGTTGGTCAAATATACCTCTTGTACTTCAGCTTCTTCTTCTTCCTATAGAGGATCAAAGCATGTGGGACTTAGTGAGTTTAACAAATAATGAGTGAAGATAAACGCAATAATGGTCTGTATATCGACCCACATTTTTTGGATTCTACACTAAATCCACCAAGTATTGTCGTATGTATCATGCTGCACATCATCAGGCATCTACAAATGGATAAATAATGGTCCATGCAGCACACAGAGGAAGACAAAAGAAGGAGAGTGGGAACGACACCACAAACTACCTCAGTGGCTTGTTCGTCTTGCGCCTGAAAAAGAGGTTGGACAAAATAGATGGGAAAGATAGAGGAAAGAAGACAAAGCACAGCAGGGAAGCATTCAGAAGATCAGGCAGCGGCTGGAATGTCTCAGAAAAGCAGATGTCTTTTTTTGTAAATCCTAGGATCTAGTGAAGTCTGAACTGAGGGAGATAACCCAGAGTTCAAGGGGCCCTACATATTAGTATTTTGTTCCTCTAACGTGACATGTTTATTATTTTTCTCATACTGCCTGTGTTGCAGCAGGCTATGATTGGTTAGCTGCCTGGCTCTCTTGTGATTGGTCAACCGCTTAGCGATGTCCCGCCCCTTAGCCTATCACGTACAATGTGCTGAAGCGCTAGCCAATAGAATCAAAATATATTTTTTATATTTATTTTCTCTTGTATTTATTCACTTTGCATTTGATACAATCCAAAAGTAATCAGGTTAAATCACTTTTATATCTTGATACTTAAACTACATTTTTGTACAGGTAACTAGTAATTGTAACGCTTATATCTTTAAAGTAACCCTCCCAACCCTGTTAGCAGGCAACTGCATCGGTTGGTTTCAGAAGCAGCCTGTACAATGTTATATTGCACTTGTTATAAAAAGTCCACTAAGCACACACTGCTTCTTATAAAATGTATTTCAGTGAGGAAAATGTGATAACTAAAGAATTGTATATCAATATTCTCTCATCAGGATGCTGTTTAGCGAGATTTCAGTGACTGCGTGGGTCAAAAAGATTGTTTAAAGAAAGGGAAGTGGAAATTACATTCTTGTGTGATGTGCTTGTGTGAATGCAAACAGGGATGCAGAAGAGCGTCCACCCTTGGGAACATACTGTAATTTAATTGCACACATACTAGAATCGGACTATGTGACTTTACGTTATTCAGTATATTACATAATTAAGTCTTTAAAAAAAGCTTCTTGACAAGCACTGGTGGTCATACTTTAATCATCACTGCATATGTGAATGGACAAAAAGACAATACACACTTAAGCAGCAAGCAAATCCTCTCAGTATGGCCAACAGTGTTGTCTTCGTCTTTGCACTTTATTTGACTCTTTACTCTTTGTTAGGTCTACTGTGTACTAGTGTGAAATACAAATGTGATAGGAATGTTTGAGGGGGGTGGCAAAGAAAGCAAGAAAAGGAAACTGAGAGGGGTAGGTAAAGAAAACAACGCGTAAATCTACCTCAAGCTGTAGTAGCTCTTCTTCCTCCTAGAAATGAATAACAGATAGCAGGTCAGCTAGTATTGGGAGCAAGGGAGCAAAAGAGCACCACTGGCATGCAAAATAAAAGGTCTTCTGATTAAAAATGGAAATGGAAACTATATGGGGATAGTTGTCAGGAAGCAGCTACAGAAACTGGGAAGAAATGAGGACGAGGATGTTAGCAGAAAAAGAGGGAAACAAACATGGAGTAGAGGGATGAAGAAAGATGAAGTGAGTTTAAAGATGAATGAACAGCAGAGCAGCCTTCCCTGATCTCCATCAAACCCACACTGATGAAGGCTACACGGAGGCGGTCACCGACGCAATGTTACCTCTGATTGCAAATCCTCTTCCTCCTGGAGGGAGCAAACCGAGAGATGGAGCAAAAAAAGGGCAAAGAATAGGGTTAAAACATGTTGTAAGGTGCGTGCATGAGGAACAAGACTGCTGTGAAGACCAGCAGAAGGACGTCTGAAACTGATGTGAAGTGAGTCAGGTGGTTTCAATGGACTGGAACACAAACTGAAGAAACATGCCATTATTTACATGCAGCAACGGGAAGAAGAAGGTGGAGACTGTGTCTGAAACATCCCTCACTCCCATAAACATTCCCTCCCTGCATCCCTCCCAAACATCCTTCATCCCAACCTCCATACATCCCCTCGAACCTCTTCCCTCACTCCCAACATCCCCTTGTCCCTACATCTTGCGAGTGAATAATGTCACTTCCAAAATGTCTCCTTTTTTATACATTGTTACTCTCAGTGGTGTAAGGCTGCTGAATTTGTTTGACGATCATGACATGCATCCCCACGGCTGAAGAGGAAAAGATTAGTTTTAAGAAGAAACTAAATAGTACAAAAATAGTTTTTTCAAACATTCAAGTACTTGAAGAGATGCAGATATAAGAAAAATACCCCACTGACGTTGAACAGATAACATTAGAAGTTATGCATTGCAAGTACAGTGCACAGTTATTCGAGTCACATCATCTTCTGTCCAACACACTGGATTTTAGGGGTTAGCATTGTGGCTAACTCACAACAGTATTAGGAAAAAAGTACTGTGTGTTTGAGTTAAAACCACAAATTCTACTTTGCAATACCACACAGCTTTCATGTAAGCATTTTAAAAGAATAATTGACAGTTAATAGACACACAAGTTCATGTTGGTTAGCATTATTCCAAATATTTTCAGATCACTGGCAAGCAGATATAAGTGTTTGATAAACGTACCTGTTCTTCTTCTTCTTCCTCCTCCTCTGCGGGGGCCTGCTAACAGAAGAGAAGATAGTATTAGAGACTGTGCATCGTTAATACTAAATACATTACACAATCTGTATATTCATACGGAAACACAACAGCATCCACAGATCAGGCTTATTGAACCAAACAGAGTGGGACACCCTTTAAACAGGACATTTAGAATTCATTGGATATGCGGGATGGAAGACAAGAGGTAACATCAGCAAAATAAAATCACACGTGGAGGGAAATAAAAGAAATGCAATGAAGAGGTTACATGTCCAATGGTGCTGAATACACAGGGAACAGGACATTTGTATTTAGGAAATAACTGAATCCAGAGGGATGACTTGACGGGAAAATGCAGTACGAAGACAACAGACACTCAAAAAAGGAGGCAAACCCTTAAATGGAAGAGAAGGAAACATTAAAAAGGGAGATTGAAGGTGCTTAAGGAAGGAAAAAGAGCATTCCAGGAATGATGGGAAGGTGAAGGAGAAGACATTCAACTCAAAAAACATTCAAGGGGAAACGGAGGGTTGGATTGTAGTTGAGAGGCAATTACTGTTTCTTCCGTGACCTCGTCTGTTTCTTCCACCGCCTCCTCTTCCTCAGCCATGTCCTCGTCTTCCTCCATGACTTCATCCTCTTCTGCTAGCTCCTCCTCACCCTCCTCCTCCTCACCAGCTGCCTGCTCCTCATCGGAGTGTGAATTCCCATTTCGCTCCTCCACTGGAACCTCCTTATTGTGAGGTAAAACATATAATGTAATAATTAAAGAAATATTATTGGCATGGTTGTTCAGGTACTGCTTTTACAGCACAAAGAGGAAAGGTTTAAAAACATCAACGGTGGGTGTTAGGCAATCCTGGGGGGAAATGAAGGAGGGGAAGAAGTAGCAGCAGTTTAAAAGGTGGAGATGAGTGAATACTTTCTTTAGGAAAATCAAAGTTTTGAATGATGCATTGTGAATGAAAGACACCTTTTGTGACAGGTGAGAATCAGGCATGCTTAACCCTTAGATGCACGAGTGACTGGACCCTACACTCTTCCATAAGTGGGTCAAAAAGGACCCGTATTAGAATAATATGTGTTTTTATGCCATTTTTGTCATTTTGGTTAAGAAAAATCACTTGTATAATATTTAGTATTATATTTTGGTTCACACTAGAAATATTTTATATTTAATTTTTCACTATTTATAATTTTAGACATTTTTTTTTACATTTTCAAAAAAAACGTTTTCCCATAGGATTCCATAGAAAATGCATGCGGGTCATTTTTGACCCGCATGCATGCATTGGGGTAGTAATACAAAAACTACAATTTCTTAAAATGTACATTTAAAATTTGAATGGCATGATATCCAAAACATGTTTTTTGAGGAATAGCTGGAATATGAAATGATACAAAAAATGTAATTACAAATTACTTCTGACAACCTTTTAGTCCGGCAGTGGCTCAGTCAGTAGGGGCTTGGACTGGGAGCCGTAGGGTCGCTGGTTCAAGTCCCCGACCAGACCTAAATATGGAGTGTGGACTTCTACTTGGAGAGGTCCCAGTTCACCTCCTGCCCTGCCGTGGTGCCCTTGAGCAAGGCACCGGACACCCCCCTTCCCCCCCACTCCCATTGCTCCCCGGGCGCTGTACAATAGCTGCCCACTGCTCCTAGTACTAGACTCCTTGTACTAGGATGGGTTAAAAGCAGAGGCCAAATTTCACTGTGTGTGCTGTGTGCTCTGCATGTGTGACCATTAAAGAGGGTTTCATCCCTCCCTATTCTATATTCTATACTTCAAGAAAACCACCTCACCGGGTCCAAAAATACCAACTTATGCATCTAAGGGTTAACAATATCATCCCTTCATTCTGTCAAAGAGATAATGGGGCTGAAGGGCATATTTTGTTATCTTTGGATGGTTTTTGTTACCAGTCTTTGTGCTAAGCTAAGTGACTAGTATGCTAGCTATAGTATTTACTCTTGCTGGAAAGGAAAGACAACGTAAATGAACTCAGCTTGTTCATGCAGCACTGCGTTAGACCCTGTAGGATATCAAAAAAGGCAGATCACAGGTTCAACTAAGCAGAAATATTCAGTTGTCTTTTATGCTATTCACGTGCTAAACACCAGTTACTTTAAATGACAAAGGAGAAAAGAAAATCATGCTTATGAGGAATCCTGGCCCTAGGCTCTGGAACACTCTGCCCCTAGATGTGAGGTCGGCCCAGACCCTAGGGTTTTTTAAATCTACACTAAAAACACACTCCTTCTCCCTGGCCTTCTAGTTAGAGCGGAGCATGACACCTGACTTTTCCTTGTGTTTTTTTTAATTAATCTTTTTATATATATATCTGTTGTAATTTATTGTCTTTTATTGTGATTGTAGTAATGTGTTTTTATTACATGTACAGCACTTTGGCTCGACCAAAAATCCCTTTTAAATGTGCTTTATAAATAAAACTTGATTTGATTTGATTTGATTTGATCCTGGACATGCAGAAAGTGAATGAAGTATATTTTCAAAGTATGGCTAAAGTGCGTGTCATCTGTAGTGAGGTAAACCAGCAGGGATTTTCTTTTTGGAGGGAAATTGTTAGAAAGTCACTGGAATCAAGAAGTATAAAAACACACAACAAATGTATGCATCGAATAAACCAAAATAATGAATGCAAATCAAACGTACTGAACTTGTAGGAACATGACGCCTCACACCTCTGTGACAGTCCGAACACAACAATGCATGTCACAGTGTTATAATGACAACTCTGTATGTTGTGTTATTAGGAAAAGTGTCACTCATGCAAAACACAAAAAGGTTAGTCAGAGTGACGACAGAGTGGAGGAATGAGGAGTCAATGTTCAAGTCGAGTTACTCTGAATGAAGAGGAAAGATAATACAGGGAGTAGAAACACAGAATGCTGGGGGAATAAAGAAACGACGGCATTACTATTGAGTCATCAACGTTCCCGTTCTCTGCATTAGTCTCCTCAGCGTGGGTCCCGTTCTGCACAATGCCGGCCTGATCTGCTTCCTGTGTTAATAAAACAGTCAAGTTTAACATGTGTGTGTCATACAGAGGGAGGGCTTGAAATGACAGTTTAGATCCCGAGCCAATATCTGTTCAACTCCCAATAGAGTGGTGCAGGAATGAGTCGTAATATCCGGAGATGCCTTGGCATTTTCCCACTTTTGGTTCCCTCGCCTGGAAGCAAATGTTTTTCTGAATGTGTTTTTGGTTGTTATCTTAAAATAAGGTCTGTGGCTAACAAGTGACTAAATGAGACGACTAAACCTCATCACATCCAACATTAGCCGCCTTTAGCTTAGCGGTGGTGAAGTGAAGTCATGTGACCGTGCTGTAGTTCCTTTATAGTCTAGCGTTAGCTTTTTACTTAAAAAAAATCATAAAGTGGTGTTAATTTGTGGAGATACCCTGCTGAACAAAACGTATAAGTATCATAAACGATTGTTTGTCACAGAGATTATTGCCGGAATGGTCCAAAATCCAATGGAAAAATCCCAATGGCTTTCTATTGAGGGAACCAGGGAGATGCTAAGTGTCGGGTCGGACTACAGAAATATGTCATCGCTGCACCACTCTATATTGTCACATTTAAATTGTTTATTTGAAATAAAAGGCTCCGTCTTGTATCGATTTCAACATCTTAAAAGGTTACAAAAGAGAGCATGATGATATGAGTAAAGTAGATTTGGGGAGAGCCCATTCATTGTACCATTTCAGAAGCCCAGTCATGTCTATGGGCATGTCTGTTAACAGTTACCCTTTTTTATATTTTAAGCCCATTACAGGGAGTCAAAGTTGTTTAATACTCTGATGATTGCTTGAACAATTAATTATTTTGATGGCACAGTTTTATTGATTTTATTGAATTTTGGCCAAAGTATTTAAACTCCTAAAGACGTATCTTTACAAACTGACTTGCATGCACAGACGTTTTGCAGGAAGCTATTCCAGAATCGAGATTAACCGGCAAAATGTCAATATATTAGCTCTTTGATTTACGACATAATATACAGTTGATGCTGTCCCAATATCGTAGATTCACAGCTTGGCTTGAAGGGGAAGGAAATACAATTATTTTGGTTACAAGTCAGTTTCTTTTTGTCCACAGTAGAAAACAGAAAACATTTCCAACCTTTGAGCCGGGGGGAGGGGGCAGCCCCAGGAAGGCAAACACAGCGTTGTCTTCCTTGGCATCGAAGAACGTCTCATAGTCCTGCAAGAAAAAAAGTGACATCATTATGTAACACTCACGCTTCTATTGGCTAGTGCTACAACACATTGTACATGACAGGGGCGAGACACCTCTAAGCTGTCGACCAATCACAACAGAGCTGACCGGCTAACCAATCAGGCTCTGGTTTCAGACAGAGGGTGAAAATGAGAAAAATAAAGAGCATTTTGAACATTAAAGTATGGGAACATGTCACAGTAGAGACACACAACAAATATGGACCTAAAAAAAAAGAGCATAATAGGGCATATTTAATTTGATATTTTCTTACTAACTAATCATGTGCACTTGCAGGTCTGTACAGTGGAATGGTGGCATATAATGTAAATTCGGTATTTTAACTAGAAAAGAGTCCTTCGATAATGGCCCTTTACTATTCTCAAGGGCCAAACACTGGTTAATAAAGGTGAGTGTTTGCACTGAGGGTGTGTACTCACCCCGCAGTATCCCTCCTCATTGAAGATCTGGGGGGGCAGGGGGATGCCGTTGGAGGGCTTCTTCTCCTGCGGGACGTTCTGCCTCATCCACATGCGGTTCTCCTCGCTGCAGGCGATGTCCAGCTGAGCGTACTCCACTTTAAGAGCCTCCAGGAATCCCACCACATCCTGCTGCTTCTTCTTGATCTGGGAGGCAAACAAATCAACAACATAAACTTCAAGAAAATGTAAAGATTGCACAGAAAGAAAAATACTGAATTAGTTATCTTTTAAAAATGTGAAAATTGGGATTTTCTTGTGTTTCTTGTGAGCATCATTAAAATATGACGCTTCCCATGGTCCCCTGTCCCACCAAATAAACATAAACAAGGCCTCAATCAATTAGTGTATTAAAGGGCCCATGTCATGGCCATTTCCACTGATCATAATTACATTGTTGAGGTATACTAAAATAGATTTATACTGTGCAATTTTCCAAACTCACATTGGTTTCGCATACAGCATCTCTGTCAAGTATGTGTATTCAGCAGTATTCACTCTCTCCACTAAACGACTCGTTGGAGCTCTTGCCCCCCCCTCCCTGTGAGCCTAGTGTGCTCCGATTGGTCAGCTCGGCCACTCTGTTCTGATTAGTCAACCACCAGAGAGGCTCCGCCCACTTTTTTCGGGGAACATCAGTCTTATAATGGCGTCGGTACAGCCGTATATTTTATACGCTAACTAACCGAACTGTACCTACAACTGTTGTTATAGAAGAGTGTGACGGCCCCAGGGCCTTTGTGCAGGTGTGTTGCAGGTCTTACGGTGGGGTGGAGCTGAAGAGGCTAATCAGCGCGATCACGGACACCTCCGTAGCCGAGGTGCTATTAAGCCCAGCGGCCCGTCTCTCTCCAAAGCGGCTCGGCGATTCTCTCCCCTCGACCACCTATCTCTGCATTTACCACAATAAATGTGCCGTGGTTTTGTAAACTTGTGTATGTCTCCTTGTCTTTCCGTTGTGGCCTACGAGCCGGTCATAACAAAGAGTAAGTTATTTTTACCTGTAATAAACTACTACTGTTTGATGAGAAATCAAATCATGGTTTGCTATATATGAATGATATGTTATAGGAGCAAATAATTCAGGGAAGAAAGGATAGGCCTACTAAGTATTTCCATTAAACTTTATTTTTAGAAATGTACAAAATGAACATAAATATACATATATACACACGGTATATCATCCATTCCTCCCCGCATCTTGCCTGGGCGCAGCCGGTGCCTTTTAGGACGAGGCCTCAGTAGTAGTAGTCCCGTCCCCGTCATGTATTGTCCGCCAGGATCTGGCTGGACGAAATCAAATGCAAATCACAAAATATTAGAGAAACTTAGTTGTTTTAGATTCGTTAGTAGTAGTTGTGTTAGGAGTGTGGATCTATCTAATGAACAGCTTGCCAGCTAATATGCTAACCTAGCTTTATTGTTTACTTTGGTAGCTAACACGATATGAACGCTAGCTCGGAGGAACGGCAACTATAATGTAGTGTAATAAAACTACTATGAACAAAAGCTAGTGGTTCATATTAGGCTAGCAATAACGTGTTTATAATTGCAATCTTATACGGGTATTCTGCTACGTTCGGTCATACATTGTAACTTGCATGAATACATTGTTTTGCGCTAGCATACAGCTAGCCTCGTTAGCTATACATGCACTATGTACATGTGCTGTCACAATGTACGGTAAATCACCCGGAGTATACTGTATGAGTATTTCGTGTGTGTGACTGCAGACATTCTCCTGCCATGACAAACATGTAAGGCCATCTGCTGACATTGTAGTTGATATATTTAAACGCTAGCAACGTAGCATAACAAAAATGTTTTTCCGACCAAACCTAGGTCTAGCTCCGTCGGTTAGATCGGTAGCATACACGCTACGCCAGCTATAATGTAATTACGTTTCGCGACTGACCGCACGGCAAATCACCCGGAGTATACTGTCAATAGGTATTTTGTGTGTGAATGCAGACATTCTCCTGCTATGAGATACATGTATGCAAGGCCATCTGCTGATATTAGAGTTGATATATGGAAACGCTAGCAACTTAGTTAGCACAGTTAGCACTGTGTCAATGGCTTAGCAGTCCAACAGTTTACACATTTAAACAGTCTTGTTTGATAAATACACAAATAACAATGCAAACTTACAGGTTGTGTACCCGAATCTTCCCCTGCTCCAAACGGTCCAAACAAGCTGTGCATATCCGGCCTCAAACTGGGCAATGTTTTGGAAGCTTTCGTCTGTGAAATGCCGGTTCTTCGAACCTCTGAAGGAACAGTGTTAAAAAGAAATTTCAACCACTGACTTCGTCGTGGTTCTTCCGTCGGTAGGACAAACAGCTCAGATTTCTCCTCACATTTCAGGAAACAGGTCCTTGGCAGTGGCATGACTGGATCGATTGTGAACTGAACCAGAGCTTCCAACAGTAAATGTTAGGCTGGCAGAGGGTGCGGCCAGCGCCGCTGGGTGTGGCCATAGCTCTTCGGGATTGGTCAATTTCGTTCCGGGTACCGCATGACATCAGGCCGTACCCAGAACTAAATGGAAGACTCAAATGGGCAGTGACGTATCTCCAACGAGGCGTTTTGGGGAGGTATTTTCTGTGTTAGAGTTTTACTCGCTACAGGGTGTACTTTGAGGGTTTTGACTCTGCACACCGTTTACATGCATAAAAACCTTCATAACACACAAAGGGACGGGTAATAACCGGAAAAGCATGACATGGGAGCTTTAACCAGAAAGGAATTACTTATATAATTGATAAGTCGTGAAAGTAGTTTATCAAGCATATCTGCCAAGTACATCACTGCAGATTGGACATTTTGTAGGAAATAAAAATAAAGACGTCAATTTGGACTCATATATAAATAATGATTGTCTGTTTTTCTCTATTTTCTGACATATTAGTCTTAAATTTAAAATGCGAAAACAATCAGATTCCTCAATAATAACAGCTTATTTCTTGTGCATCTTGTTTACATGCTGCTGTGATGAAAACATGTCCTCACAGCGCCTCACACTCAGGGACCTCCCACTGCTTTTGGAAATATTTATTACATCTGTTTTAATATTAAATACAACTAGTGGTGGAGGGTACGCAGTACATTTACGCAGGTACCTGTACTTTCTTAAGTATTTAATGCTACTTTTTACTTTTACTCCACTAAAATTATTGAAAAGCTTTAGCGACTTTTCAGATGTTGCATTAAAACTCACTTGATAAACTTTGAAAAATGCTGAATGATGCTGATACTTGTGTATATTCACTTAAGTGACATTTTAAATTAAACGTTTACTTGTAACAAAGTACTTTTACAATAAAGTATTGTTACTTTTACTTAAGTAAGACATCTAATAACTTCTTCCACCTCTGATAACAACTTTATGTAACGTTTACAAGGCTAAACCCTGCACCTTAACAGTACATATATTAATGTCATATTTTAAAAAGAAATATCTGTTCTTTGCCTCACACTTGCAACAACTGTTATCAATGTGAATATACTGCAACCTCATGCAACTTGTTTTTATTTATTTCACATATATACTGTCAATCCAGCACAACCCTCCGAATATTTTGCACATTTGTATACAAAGCTACCCCTTTTAATATCTGCACAGCTTTCCACTTTCTCGTAACAATAATGCACATTTTATTTTGTTTCTCTGAGTGTTTTATTATATTATACTATACTTCTCTATATATCTATATTTCATGTAAATATTTATCTATATTTTAATTTTACAATAGTTTGTTTTTATTTCAATGTATCTTCTTTAACTGTGTTCATGTATGCACCATATACACAAAGGAATTCCTCTTATGTGTGAACCTACTTGGCAATAAACCTGATTCTGATGTGCAATGACAATAAAGTTTATAATCTAATCAAATGAGGACCTTGCATCTGTGCCAGGATACTCTGCATGGAAGACAGCCAAAATTAGGACATGCTAAACAAAATCGACTCAGAGGATAACACCCAGCTCAATCAGCTGTAAGACAACACTGCGAGCTAACTGGGCCACCATGGCACCCCTGCTTCAAACTGCTTATTTAGCTTTGCCAAAAGTAGATCAAGAAGTTAAATTCGCCCCCTCCCTGCATGCTGTGTTTATCACACATACCTCTTTTAAAACACTTTCTCCAAGGTAAATGAGTTGCCAAATAGTGTTAAAAGGTTATTTCTGAACGGGGTAAATTCCCACGCTACACCGGGTGGTGGCGTGAAGCGTTTCTATATCGGGGGACGTGAAGGGAGTTCTCGAAAGCTCCACATGTGAATCACATCGACTCGCTAATTAAAATCCACTATTAAAACACTGCCAGGGGAAAACTCACCATCGTAAACATCCAAATTACGCATGCAAAATCAAAAGGCAAGTGACATTCATTTCAAGGTTTCGCGCATTTAAAAAGGAAAGTCCTGATCGGTTTACACACAGGAAAGTTAATTTAAATGAGAAATGTGTCGTGTTGCAGGAGTACTCACCGCAGTGGATCCCGACGAAGAGGCGAGGAAAACTTTGATAACCATTTTTGTTCAAATGTAGTTTGTGGAGTCGGGCTATATGCAACAAGTAGGCTCTTAAAGGAGCAGGCGGGCCTCTATTATTAGAGCTCACCCAGGACACAGTACTAAGACACACACACCACATAAACACATACACTGCTGGGGGGCTATTTTGGTCTGCAGGCTCCATTAGTGCGGGATTGGCGGGTTGGCCCCTAGGGGCGCAGCAGCACACACCGATTGGGCTGTGCAGCTGTCTGTCGGAGCAGGGCACGGAGGTTTTATTAGCTCCGGGCTCAGTGCATATATGGACAGAAATAGACCACTGACCAGCACTATAGGCTGTCAGGCTTTGGTTTCCTAACGCAGAAACTCAGGACAGTTGAGTGGGAAAAACATTGCGTTAGCCTGCGTAGAATACTTTTTTTTAAATGTGCAAATTGTACACAACAAGAGAGCACCCCTTTTTTTAGGCTAGTTGACGTAGTTACTAAACATTTGTGACCTCTGTGTAAGGTCTTCACCTTCAAAAATCACTGGGGCTGCTTAGATTGGCGTTTGTCTGCCTGTATTAAACAGTGTGTTACGTCTCAAAAAAGGGTCTAGGGGAAAATGGAGACACTAACACAACAACCTATACAATGAGAGACAGAATAAAAGTAAACTAGTGTTTTTATTCTTTATTAATGAAAAATGCCAACAAAGGTTCTTTAAGTGAGGGGGAAGAGGAGACAAAAGGAGATTATGCCAAATTAAAAGACACAAAACAAGGCCTATATCTGAATGTATCCTTTGAAACAAAACAAATAAAAAGCTCTCACTATCTGATCTACTATGTTAACAAAACCAATACAGGGGGTGGCAACAATCTAATGACCTAGTCTGTCTAAATGTAATTGATGTGGTGAAATGTAGCAGGTACCCAAAGATTACCTAAATCTTCAACCTCCTACCACACACACATTTAACATGTAACAAGATTCACTAAGGAATCACCAAACCAACCAAGATTCACAGAAGAATCAACAAATATAAGAAAGTTAAGAGCGGCTCTGGAGTCAGCAGCAGGCCCAGGTCTGAGAAAGATAAGACTTCCTGGATTGCTTCCTTTATGAGTGGATCTGGCTGCTGATAGGCTAGCTGAGGGTGAGGGGATCCAATCAGCAGTCAGTGTGAGGTGCACCAGCAGGTACTGATTAGCTGTTGATTACCTGGAGTGAAGAAAGGTGGAGAAGATAAAAGAGATGGGTTGCGGTCGAATAGTCCATTTAGCTTAGGAACCTTCCTAACGGAGTGAAATGACCCGGAAGTCCCTCAGTGGCAGCCATGATAAGTGCCGTTCGAATTCTCTAAATTAAAAGGAAAGGAGGTTTCAAACTTCCTTTATAACCTCCTTTAGCCTAGGAACCACTGGACCTCCCTAACCGAAAGGAGAGGAGAAAATGCTGCCCCACAATGCCTTGCGGCCGCCGCATTTGCCGTCACACAACAGTCGGCCGTTCACGGAAACAACCGATTATGAACGAGAAATGATATCATGAAAGTTATGGTGCTTATTAAGCATTTTAAAACGTATGTGGTAAGTTGCCAAAGTGCTTTGTTTTGAACGTTCATCAGTATTATAATCAAAAAGAGAAATATGAACGTTAGTTTTTACTGAAATGATCAAATAAAGTCAACATTTCACAGTCTTTACTGAGCTGTGTGGGGTTTGTTCAACTTTTAAAAGATGTTTGAATGGTGATATACACAGTGATAGATGTTAAGGACTAACGTTTATAATAAATACATTTGTATTGATTTTAAGGTCTTTTCATACAATCATACGTATTGGGATCATTTGTATTAATGTGGACCGGAGGGAGAGGGTGACGAGCATAAGTTTCACTTTCCTTTTTTATTTCAATTCCAACTTTGGTCATGAAGAATATGTTTCTCTGTTGTCCCCGTTCATAAAGCATAAAACAACATCATCAGAGCACGGTGCAGAGTCTCTAGATGAGTTTACAGTAGTCCCTCGTTCTTATTAAACATCCATGTTGTAGTCCGCTGTATAGAAAACTGTAGTTTCCATAGTTTCCCCACAGCAGCAGGCGCACATTTATGACCTCCGCTGGCGCATCATAAACACGTTGGATAGTGAAAGTGCAGTCGGATTCTCTAAAGTACCGCAGTCTCTTCTCCTAAATCCTTTTGAATTCTCCTATCCACTATCCCTTAACCCCGTGACGTTTCACTCAGAGGTCAAGGAATAGACGATAGGGTTAGAACTTAGGAGCTGTTTTTTTGGAGTATTCGACCGCAACCATGGTATTACTATGATAGCATAGTTGTTTATATTTATACAGTGTAAAAATGGAACAAAATAAAAGTATCCTCTACTCATTCTGTGAGGACAAAACAGGAAATACATCTAGTAGGCAATGTAGACGGGAATGTGACGTCATAAACGTAAAGTCGACCATCTTTGGAGGATAGAGACCACAACCTATTAACTTAACCTGTAAAGTTAGCGGAGTAGCTGCAACTTTTTCACTTTAATCGTTTTAATCATGGCCAGAAGGCACTGCTATGACGCTGGCTTTAACAGCCAATCCAATGACCAACGAACAAAACAAAAAAAAGAACCACAGGATTACATATAATTATTTTAAACTAACAGGGAAACGAGGGAGACGTAGCAAACATTACCAATAGCAGGGTTGCCAACTCTCACGCATCTGGCGTGTGACACACGCTTTCACTCTCAATCTCACGCTCTCACGCTGCCCAAACTATTCTCACGCCAAAAACAAGATGAACCGGCGATCGTTTTTGGTTGGTTATTTTCAATGTTGAGTTGACAGCTGCTCAAGCTGTCGATCCGCTCCCTCCCCGCTCCCTCCCCGCTCCCTCCCCGCTCCCTCCCGCTCCCTCCCCGCTCCCTCCCCGCTCCCTCCCCGCTCCCTCCCCGCTCCCTCCCCGCTCCCTCCCCGCCCCCATGACCCGCCCCCACCACTCTTAACAAAGTTAACAGACAGCAGAGCAGTGGGAACCGGTTGGTCAATCCCCGACCCGTATTGCGCATGCGCAGATCTAAGATCCAGTAGAAATGATAAAAAAGTAAAAGTCTGCTGCTTATTGTTCTACTAGGCCAAAATAGAGTCAAAGAGTATATGAGAGTGAGAGTGTGTTAATTAATATATTTGGCAGTTTGGAGTAAGTCTGTAGATTTGTTTGTGTGTGTGTGTTTCATGTATAGGCCTCTCACGATAATTAATTTTGTTGGATACATTTTCCCGGAAATGATTGCGATAAATATTGTCGGCACCGTTGTATGACCATTTTAGACCACTGACATAATGATAATATATAATAATAATTCAAGTACATCCTTTCAAACTGTCACATCCTCATGTAAATGGCAATTTATCGAGTTCATTTTTTGTTTATCGTACGATAAGTCAATTAATTGATTATCGCGACAGGCCTATGCACACAATAAAACAGTGAAAACAAACATGTGTTTGACTTTAATTAGTGAATGAAACTTTGTGCCCTTTATAGTCTGTGTCCAATATTGTGTATTTGTATATATTGTATATATATCCTATATATATGCTAAGGTCCCGCTACTGACACGATAGCAGTCATTTAGTGCGCATATGTGTAATTAAACCTATGATATCAAAATCTCACTCCAGCCAGGTACCCAAAGTTGGCAACCCTGCCAACTGAATGTGTTGGATGTCAGCCGTCTGACTGTTTACTGCGGAACTACAGTAACACAAACTACTACACTGAGAATATAATTTAAACAGTATATTTACATATACTGGGAGATTACTTGTGCATGATATGCCAACGTTTTGTTAGCACTCAGTTAGCATAGCATTAGCTTTCTTACCTCTCCCCGGATGCCTCGACAGTTGTCATTAAACCTGTAGATCTGAAGGTGCTGAATCCCCCATTTGTAACCTTCACTTGGGCCTCAGAATACTTAAATACATTTAATTTGCAGACAGGTGTAGACATAACTCCAAACACCAGAGAGGACTGACATCAGTAACAGTGATAAGTCCCCTCTCTTTCTTAAAGAAAAATATATATTCAAGGTTCAAGGTTCAAGGTTCAAGGTTCTTTATTGTCAATCTGACATAGCTACAGAGTAATTATGCAGTTGAAAATCTTATGTCACAGGCTTCTCCAACAATGCAACATAATAACATAACATAATAACAATAAGAGCAAGAGCAATACAAAAATAGTAATAGTTATAAAAATGAAATAAAGTTATGATGTGGAATAGTGCAGTATGAGTCTATATACAAGTTATTGGAATGATATATATATATTAGGTATTAGATACATACTACTGAGTAGCAGTTGAATGTTTGATGTTGTTTCAACAGTTCAATTGTTTAACAGTCTCACTGCCCGCGGGAAGAAACTGTCTCCGAATCTTCTTGTCCTTGCCCGGATGCTGCGGTAACGTCTGCCAGACGGCAACAGAAAGAACAGTTTGTGGCTGGGGTGATGGGGGTCTTTGATAATCCGTAGTGATTTCTTCCTGAGCCGCTGGGAGTAAAGGTCCTCCATGGATGGCAGCTCCGTCCTGGTGATGTGCTGTGCAGTTTTCACCACCCTCTGTAAAGCCTTACGATCGAGGTCGGTGCAGCTGCCGTACCAGGCCGTCATGCTGCCAGTGAGGATACTCTCTATCGTGCACCTGTAGAAGTTGCAGAGTATCCTGGAATCCATTTTGAACCTCCTCAGCCTGCGGAGGAAGAAGAGCCGCTGTCGAGCTTTCTTGGTGATGGTGGTGGTGTGAAGAGACCATGTCAGGTCCTCAGTGATGTGGACCCCAAGGAACCTGAAGCTTTTGACTCTCTCCACCGTAGTCCCATTGATGGCGATGGGGGCGTGTCCCTCTCCCTGCTGCTTCCTGTAATCCACAATCAGCTCCTTTGTTTTGCTGATGTTGAGATGGAGGTTGTTCTCCTGGCACCAAGATGTCAGGTTTTCGACCTCCTCTCTGTATGCCGTCTCGTCATCGTCTGTGATCTGGCCGATGACGGTCGTGTCATCAGCAAACTTCACGATGGTGTTGGAGCTGTGTGTGGCCACGCAGTCGTGGGTGAACAGGGAGTAGAGGAGAGGGCTGAGCACGCAGCCTTGAGGGGCACCGGTGTTAAGAATCAGGGTGGAGGATGTGATGTTTCCCACCCGCACTGCCTGGGGTCTGCCTGTCAGGAAGTTCAGGATCCAGTCGCAGAGGGCGCTG